GTTGGCACGACACTGGACGACCGAGCGTTGAGCGACATTCCGAGAATTCCGAAATTAAGTGGAAGATGGGCACAGTAAATGTGTGCCTCTGTTGTTTTCTCTCTCATTATCTCTCATTATGATGCGAAAAACAAGGACAACGACAATATCGCTTAGCAAGAGATGAACACATGCGATGGATTTGATGAATTATACGTCACAAGCAGGGCGCTGTCCTCAGCGTGACGTGCTTTACCCATGGCACAGATTACCTAGGCCAGATACGAATGTACGCAGCGGTTTAAGGTGCGAGTTTGTTGGACCATGATAATAATTTATTTATTGTGATTACGAAAAAACGTTAGTTGGACCATTGGAATAGTTAAGAAATAAAACTACAAAGAAAAATAACTTTTTTTTCTAAAGCAGTCAAAAATATGATGAAAAATAAATCAATAATATTTATAAATGGGACAAAATTTTAATTTTTCTCTTAGTTTTGTCTGACTTTTTCGAGGATTTCAAATCTCTGTTTGCATATTTAAGAGTATAAAAAATTCTAAGTCTTATAAATAATTTAATGGTGTACATTTTCGCAAATTGTTGGCAAGGATGACCAAATTCTATTTTGCTCATCTCAAAAAGGTATGCGTTGGAAATTTCAGGCTTAGTTGACAAACTATCAAATAGAGATATAAATATTTTTTCTAATTTGAAAATATAAAAGAGAAATTTTTCGCTGGGAGATTTTAAATTGCCAAACACCTTTTCTTCAGAGTCGTATGCTTTAAAATGCGTTAACAAGTTAGAATTGTTAAGTAAATTGCATTCTTCTGAGAAATTTACGCAAATTTCGCAAGAGTGGATATGTAATGATTTTTTGATTAAATAGCCACATACATAGTTAAATGCATTTTGAGTGATCACATTTAGCTCCCTGTAGTCACATTCAGAAATCGTTATTGCCCTAACTGATTGTTTTGAAATATATTTAATTTTCATTAAGCGGAGAACTTGTTTTCCTAAGGGAAAAACGAATCTCGAGATTCCTTTCCAATGTGTGTCCCACTGCCGCTAGTGCCCACGAGCCGCCACTTCATTTTAATGTCTTTATTCTTTGTATTCAACTACTTTATCACTAATTGCGAATACATTGACTTAATGCATGTAAGTCTTTATCCAATCATTTTAATTTCTGGTTTCTGGCCACATATTTCACATATTTTAATTTTAGGGTTCTCTAATTTTTATTTACCTTATTTCTTCCCAACCTCAATAAAATGACACTAATGACAGATATAAAATTAAATAAAAAAGATGCGGGCGATTTTCGTAAAAATGGCAACATCTCATCTAGGAGCAAGACCTGCTATTAATGATTCGTCTAGAAGGCCCAGAGACCTAAACAAATCTAATCCAAGCATATAAAAATTGTAGCTTTGTAGAAAGATGTTATTATTAATAATTTTTTGAAGTTATCCCTGTTAGGTCATTATTTTTGTATTCACCTGGTATTAAATTAGAAATGTACAAATTTTCATCCTAGTATAGTGCCTCAATACGTTACTCGGATTGACTGCTAGCTCATAGACTATTAATGTAGTTATGTTAACACGAAATAAAAAATGAATAAATATAGCAGTGACACTTAAACAATACAGAAGTGTTTTATTTAAAATCCTATAAATAATTAACAGTTGAACAATTATCATTATTATTAATAGAAGGAAACCGTTTTTTAACATTATGAAACAACCGCTTCCTTATAGGTTTTTGTGATCTCCGTTCTTTGGTTACTTGAAGTGAAATAGCTGGAGGGCCATTATTTCATCCAATTGTCTCTCAATTGACACACAATATCCAATTTGGTATTTTATATGGCAGGATAATAAGTCTTGAAGACCTTTACTCCCTACGACTGGCTGTTTGTAGCACTGGCCCTGTCGTACCTATTATTTAATAATGTTAAATTGCTCAGAAAGAAATTCGAGATAAGAATGAATGATCAAAATAAGAGATAGCTATAACGTATACGAGGAATGTTCGAAAAAATAAGGAATTTAACTACTACAGTGGAAATGTTTCCTTGTAAGAGGTAGAGAAATAATCAAATCTTAAAAGCTACTACATTATTTACTGCAGACACACTTGAATAGATGTTACGCCAATTTTTAGAATGCATAATAAACATCGCTCGCTCTATACAGGGTGGCCATTTGAAAACGAAACAGAGCCAATTTTGGACAACCCAGGTCATTTACGAAAAACCGTTCAGACCCATCAATTTTTGATTGTAGAAGGAAACATTTTTTTTTTTTCAGTTTCACCCCCCGGGCCTCAATTATCGACCTTTTTTGCACGTGGTAAAAGATAATTTTCCTATGGGAATTTATATTTTGTATTCTCGACTCATCCACTAGGAATATTTTCTCATGAAAAGTATGGGAGCAAATACACTTGGTATTTGGCATGGGAAATCAAATGGGAATATTGGTAATGGGTTCTACTAAACCAAAGTTAATCTGCCACCAGTCATATTATTTGCTATTTTCTTGTTATTTTAAATAATAATATTATTATAGAATAAGAATCAAAAATTGACAAATTATTTATCATTGACATGACAAGAATCAGTGATGTCATGTAACGACTTGAAAGTATTGAAATATCTTGATTAATATTGGTCAGTTTCCAATATTTTCGTATTTAATACGAGACATACGTTGGATATACCAATAATCAAAATTCTTATAGGAATTACATTCCTAACCTAGTGAAAAATACCATTTTATAATACCATTGAAAAATAAGCAGTGGAATTTTTACCCATGGGAATTTTTTTTCGTGAAGTCGAGAATCGAGGCCCAGACCGATAACATTCTAACGGGGGTGCGTTTTTTCCGTAAATGACCTGGGGTTCCGAAAATAGGCTCTGTTTCGTTTTCAAATAGCCACCCTGTATAGTAATACTGACACTCTATAAATGTCTGCTTGTTCGCAAATAGCCCAGGACGCTTTCCATTTTTTAAATCTTATATTGCTGAATCTCATATATATTTTAAATTTTAACCAATCAAAATATGGGTATCTGTTTTGGCCATAAGACAAGGCTATTGAAAAGAATACAACGGAAGTTAAACATAACTACATAAAATTAATTAATCTAAAATCTTTTTAGCATCATTTTTGTATTTATTCTTGACAATAATAAACTTTGTCTCTGTATCTTTTTTGATCTTTCATCGGCATTTGACGTAGTTTACTGATTTAAACGTTGGAGGAAAATGGAATAAGGAATAATGTACTACAACAGTTTAAAAGGTACTTATCATCTATCACAAAAGTATACAGGGTGCAAGATTCTTAGATACTAACAGTGAAGACATGGAAGTGAAATACAGTGTACCTCAAGGTACCATTTTGGGACCAAATCAATTTAACATTTATTTAAGTGGTCTATTTTCAATAAAATCCCAAGGAGATGTATTAGGCCTATTAGGGCATTCTGATGATAGTGTCATTGTTTACTACGCAGATACATAGCAAAATCTGAAATCAAAAATAGAATCAAGGCTTGGTTGAAGCATAGATTAATTACAATAAATATGGACAAAACGTTCCACATGCCTATTTATTGCCACTTATCTTCAGCATCAAATTTTAATGCTAAATTTATCGAGCACCAATCAGCATTTTACTGAAAAAGTAGCCAACAAGCAAGAAGTAACTTGAAAATGACTTAGACAATTTCATGATGTGGGTCATGTATAATGATTTTTTTCTACAATGCAGAAAACTAAAACTAGAAATCGAGTGTTTTATGTTTTTTAAATGTTTTTGGTTTGGGAAATAATAAATTTGTTCCATATTTTACAGACACACTGTATAATACAACGACTTTTTTATACAGGGTGTTTTTAAATAAAGTACCGTAAACTGAGGATAATTAAGATAAGCTTAATATAATTTTCCTGTAAAGTTCCAGTTTTTCATTCAGGGTTATAATAATACATAACTTTCCAAATATCTTTCCTTACGGAAAAGACTAATTAAAATATATGTACTGGTCAGTTAATCACCATTATTTACTAAGTAATACACGATAAATTACGATAACCCAATGGCTTAGAATAAAAGGCTAGGAAAACAACTTTGATCCAAAGTTTTTGAACATCCTATATTTCATAAAAGTTAAGAGTAATAATTATTAATTTCGCAATTTGTCACAAAATTATTCCTAATTGATCTTTATAAAACATTCCTTTTCCAAGATTTTGAAAGATATGTACATTATGAAATTCCAAAAATGCAAATTTTTATTAAGGGTCCATTTCATAATCAATATTAAAAGGTCCATTAAGTCGATAAGATCTTGGTCCCATTAGTTAATGGAACTTAAAATATTCATTATGAAATCGGTCCTAGATAAGATTGTACATAGATTTCATGTTTGAGTAGGACTAAAACTGAAAAATCTCGGAAATAGAGTTCTTTAGAGATTAAGCAAGAGCCTCTTTTTTGTGACAAATTGCGTGAGGAATAATTATTAATTTTAACTTCTATGAAATATCAAAAAGTATGTATTAAAATGTTTTTCTTATCCCTTCATTCTACGCCTATGGGTCATCGTAATTTGTGTTAACTAATAATGACGATTAACTAACATATACATATTTTTGAGTAAAGATTTTTACCGCAATGGAAGATATTTAGAAAATTATGTATTTATAAAATTCATTTTATCATATTTAGCTTTTCTTATTAATTAGTTAAGATCTATAAATCCCTCTGTTTACGGTACTTTACTCTGAAATCCTGGTAAAAAATTCTTTTTATATACCAAAAACTCATACATCAAAGTCGAGAAACACCTTTTCTAATAATTCCCTCATCTATAAAAACCACAACCGACTAATTCAATCAAATAATTACAGACCTTAACAAAGATTCAGCCGTCCAACATTGAGTTAATTCATTTAGAAAAGACTAATTGAGGAGACAACTATTTTAAACTATACAGATGGGCCTCTGCCCCTTAGTAATTGACCACCGCTCGGTACTCGAGCCGTCAACAACGCACCAAGACTTGCATTTTAGTCCCTCATATGTAACTTCGACGATTTCATGTCCGTCTGAGTTCAGTTTGTTTTTGAATTGTTTCATCTTAAAATGTTTCTAATTTATTGTAGTGAAATTAGCAAAATTAGTATTTTAGTGTTATCGGTGTTGAGTTCCTGTTTTTGTAATGAAATTCCAGATTTCAGCAGCCCCCCCACTACCGTTAAGGCGAAAGAAAATAATACTGTGTTGTTGCCTTGTTATTTGAATACTCTTTCTAATGGTGAGTCATCCATTTCTTTTTTTTAACAAAATAAATTAATAGCTTCCTACCGCAGAAAAATTTAGAAAAATGCCTCATTGTGTCAAGCAGGTTTCAGAAACTAATTTTTTTTAATTAAGTAAACCCCTGAAATAAGAAAATTCTGTTATAATGGGTAATTGTTCTTTAAGCACAACTACTTGAACTTACTGCCAAATATCATAAACTAACACCACATTAGGCAGAAATTCAGTCGCCGAAAATAGACTGCCGACCTTTCTGCAATAAATTCGTTTCAACGGATCTTCTGCTCAATGTAGCGATTTAACGAATTTCTTGTAAAAAATTATAGAAAAATAAAATTTTGTCTGCAGCAGACGGTCTACCGCTCAAGATCGTCGGCTCAACTTATTATGCCTAATATAGCGCTAGCCTACAATTAGAATATTAATTATAAACCCTATATAAATGGATTGGCATTATTTATCGATTCTTAACAAGAATCACTAATATATTATCTAAATAATACAAAAGAGTAGAAGGGCCTCAAAATATTTTTTTCTGCACCCACATGGATATTAGCTGATCTACGCACAGATTAAAAAACGAAAAAGTATACTATTGCCTTCAACTGAACGAATATATTTCATATTCATTCTAGGTAGTGCAAAAAAATAAAGTCCACCAGTCACAGTTCATATTTTGATCAAACGACTGCTATTATTTTTAAAATTTGAAATAAGTGACAATTCTGTCAAACTAATTGTCAGTATATTTTTTAGTTATTGAGATTAAACATACATTAAAATGAGTTATTCTTGTGTAAAATCGATAAATAATAGAATTTATATTTTTATTTCGTCTATAATTATAAATAATTTGTTAATTTAAATAAAACTATATTGAAGTCAAATTAATTAAGAGTATTTAAACAAAAAAAAAAATAAACGCGTAGATGGTCATGTGGTCAGGGTTCTTGCCTTCCATACGGAAGAGGGAGAAAAAAGAAATAAAACTTTTCTATTTTTTTTTCTTGTTTATTTTATTTTATAAATTAGTAAAAGTCATAAATTATTTTTAAATTAAACATTTTATCTTAATAATCTAAAATAATGATTAATATTTGTAGATATTTGTTAGTGGGCCGTAGAAAAAATATACTGTACAACTCGAGTGGATTGTCCATATTGCACTTAGACTATTCGTGCGATATGGCCATCATATCCACTCTTGTTGCACAAACTATACTAATTTCTACACCCACATGGATATTAGCTTATCTACGCACAGACTACATAACACAAAAGTATGCTATTGCGTTCAACTGAACGAAATTATATTTCATATCCTTTCGAGGTAGTGAGAACACTGCAAATAATTGAAATCCACAAATCACAGTTCATATTGTGGTCAACCGACTGCTATTATTTTTAAAATTTAAAATAAGTGACAATTCTGTCAAACTAATTGTCAGTATATTTTTTAATCATTAAAATTAAATCTACTTTAAAATATTATATAGAATCGATAAATAATAGCATTTCTATTTCGTTTATAATTATAAATAACTAGCCGACCCGATCCCGCTGCGCTGGAATTTCTCAAATCTCAATTATTAAAAGTGAACAACAGTTAATCGGGAGAAATTTTTTCATGAATACCCACCCGGCAAATTTTTATTAATTTTTATTAATTTTTATTAATTTTTATTAATTTTTATTAATTTTTATTAATTTTTATTAATTTTTATTAATTTTTATTAATTTTTATTAATTTTTATTAATTTTTATTAATTTTTATTAATTTTTATTAATTTTTATTAATTTTTATTAATTTTTATTAATTTTTATTAATTTTTATTAATTTTTATTAATTTTTATTAATTTTTATTAATTTTTATTAATTTTTATTAATTTTTATTAATTTTTATTAATTTTTATTAATTTTTATTAATTTTTATTAATTTTTATTAATTTTTATTAATTTTTATTAATTTTTATTAATTTTTATTAATTTTTATTAATTTTTATTAATTTTTATTAATTTTTATTAATTTTTATTAATTTTTATTAATTTTTATTAATTTTTATTAATTTTTATTAATTTTTATTAATTTTTATTAATTTTTATTAATTTTTATTAATTTTTATTAATTTTTATTAATTTTTATTAATTTTTATTAATTTTTATTAATTTTTATTAATTTTTATTAATTTTTATTAATTTTTATTAATTTTTATTAATTTTTATTAATTTTTATTAATTTTTATTAATTTTTATTAATTTTTATTAATTTTTATTAATTTTTATTAATTTTTATTAATTTTTATTAATTTTTATTAATTTTTATTAATTTTTATTAATTTTTATTAATTTTTATTAATTTTTATTAATTTTTATTAATTTTTATTAATTTTTATTAATTTTTATTAATTTTTATTAATTTTTATTAATTTTTATTAATTTTTATTAATTTTTATTAATTTTTATTAATTTTTATTAATTTTTATTAATTTTTATTAATTTTTATTAATTTTTATTAATTTTTATTAATTTTTATTAATTTTTATTAATTTTTATTAATTTTTATTAATTTTTATTAATTTAAGTTTTATTAATTTTTATTAATTTTTATTAATTTTTATTAATTTTTATTAATTTTTATTAATTTTTATTAATTTTTATTAATTTTTATTAATTTTTATTAATTTTTATTAATTTTTATTAATTTTTATTAATTTTTATTAATTTTTATTAATTTTTATTAATTTTTATTAATTTTTATTAATTTTTATTAATTTTTATTAATTTTTATTAATTTTTATTAATTTTTATTAATTTTTATTAATTTTTATTAATTTTTATTAATTTTTATTAATTTTTATTAATTTTTATTAATTTTTATTAATTTTTATTAATTTTTATTAATTTTTATTAATTTTTATTAATTTTTATTAATTTTTATTAATTTTTATTAATTTTTATTAATTTTTATTAATTTTTATTAATTTTTATTAATTTTTATTAATTTTTATTTATTTTTATTTATTATTTAGTTTTACAATACTGCTCATTTCCCCTTCCTTAAAATGTGAAAATCCAGAAACCTTGAAATGCGTCATTATTTACTAATAATGAGTAGGTATCTACAATTTCAATTTTCAAGTTTATACCTTAAAAAAGCCGAAAGTCTTATACAAACCTCCCGTTTTCCCCCTTAATGTCTATTTATTTATGATAAGTAGCTACAATTCCAGTTTCCAATTTCCTACCTTTAAGAAAAGCGATACCCTCATACAACCTTTCCATTTTTCCTCCTTCCTCCAATTTCTTCCCTTTCTCCCATATCTCCCTTTTCTCCCCTTTTTTTCCATTCTCCCATTTCCTCCTTTAAAATATAAATCTAATTTTAATATCTGAGACCTATATGACACCTTTTATTTTAGCTCCTCAACCTTTGTGTACTTTTTATGTATTACGTGTACTACTTAGGGCACAATGTGTATATAGGTACTAAGGTACATTTTTCCAGTGATTTACCCATGCACTACACTAAAATAGTAATGTTTCGATGATCGGTGCAAATTTTAAGATTTGGCCTTGTTAATTATTTTGAGATAATTATTAGTTACACTGAACCTAATTCGTCATCTGCGGCATTAATTCTAGAAGATTTCTTTGACGAGCCCAACCACTGCTTCTAAGATATAGTAGATAGATAACTGTCTGATGGTAAAAATTGGTAGTCTATTTTTACTTTACATTACACTGCTTGTATTCGCTTCCTAAACAAAAATAAAATCTGTTTTCACGAGGCCCTTGTATGAGAATAAATCAAAGTTTTAAACAACTATTTTTCAAAATTTCCAACAATAAAAAAAATTAATACATATAAAATTTCCAACAAAAAAAATAATATTTACAATATGTAATTCCAGCAATACAAAAGGAGTTACTAAACCATATTAAATAAATCTAAATTGACTTTTAAAAATTAAACTTATAACTAACAAAAAGTAAAAATATAAATTCCACTAAGATTTTTTTTAATGACATTGATAACTCACCGCTAATTGCAGCCCAAACACTTGTAGTTGATTTAACGATGAAATCTTAAATGCTTGATCGTAAAAAGATTTAACATCTCCCAGTTCGCGAAATTTCCCTTTCTCAGGAATATTGCGTGCGGCGATAATTAAAATTTAAATTATTTTAATACCAATTTTTTACAGGATGTCACATACATTTTTAAAAGGAATTTTAAAATGTTACACATTCTATTAGTGCCTATTATTTCCAGATTCAACTATATATTTTTAGAACCATCTAAACGGGGCGCAGACCTAAATTTAACAAATTAGTCATTTTGAGAAAAAAAATTAAAGTAAAAATTTACATAGATTCTCGGAAAATTGTTCTAAAACAAGGTGTAAAATTATTGATCTAATATCAAGTGTCCTAAACACAGATGATCTAAAACACATTTGATTGAAAATAAATTTGATCTAATTACAGTGGCTCTAAAATAAATTAGTTTTAAAACGTCAGAATATTATAAAATACAAAAATAATTTAAAACTCTTGAGTTTGCGGTTTTATACCGCACAAGTTAGCAGTGAGGCTCGTGGGCACTAGCGGCAGTGGGGCACACACTGGAAGGGAATCCCGGGATTCGTTTTTCCCTTAGGAAAACAAGTTCTCCGCTTAATGAAAATTAAATATATTTCAAAACAATCAGTTGGGGCAATAACGATTTCTCAATGTGACTACAATGAGCTAAATGTGACCACTCAAAATGCATTTAACTATGTGGTTATTTAATCAAATAGTTATTTATGTACCAAGCGTATAAATAGATGTTTATGCCCTGAGGGCGACGTCTTACGAACCCGAGGGCCTCTGGCCCGAGGCCCCGTGACACAGTTTACAGCTAAAGAATCAGATCGCTCACTCTGCGTCGGCACTTTGGATCTCAATGTTTCAGTTTATACACTGTGCAACTCGGATAATACAATATATGA